TCCCCACAGTATAGTAGATAAGGACCCAAGGGTACCCCATAGTATAGGAGTTGAGGATCTAGGGGTAACCCCATAGTACAGGATATAAGAACCCTAGGGTACTTTTATGTGACAGCTTTGGAAGACCTGTTTGCATTGATGAATCTGAGTGTAGTCATATATGTAGTGAAAAAAGGTTTTCTTTGAAAATCCCTGTATTCCTCCTCAGGACTCATGGGGTCTTTTTTAGAGGTTTTACGATATCTCCGCCATTTCGCGACCGATCCTTCCCATCTTCGAACTCGACCTAGATATTGATGAGATACGCCTGTGGAAGAAAAGTTCTTGTCGATTGCTCAAACTTTTCGAGAGTTATCGGATAAACGGACGGACGGACACACTGACCGATTTTAGTAGTGTACTCACTTTTTGAGTACACAAAAACAAAAAAAAAACAAGTTGATGTGCCTAGTCATGTTCTCTCGGCTGTATTCCAAAAACACAATTCATCTGTTCTCTGAGTTCTCGGAAAAGAACTTCGCAGTATCTGGCTGCTTCACATCTGTCGTCATGTTCGTTGTGTGCATCAGCATGAGCTTGATCCATAAAATGTTCCACAGCCGCATGGTGAAGACAAGCACGGAGGCAGTTGACATCGAACACTTGAACGAATGGATGACAGCTATGTTCCTGAGTCTTTTCAATCGCGATATATTTGTCGGAGCAGTAGATGTGAAATCGTACATTATCGGCAAGTTGTCTGATTGCGCTAAGAATGTGATCAAGAAAATCAGGTACAAAGAAGTCCACGCGTCTAACAACATTTGCTTTTCCCACGACGAACTGTGAACATTCGTTTTCTATGATAAAGCGTTTATAGAAAGAAGGTGTAAATTCGGGATCGAAGTGTTGATACTGGTTACTTGCATCGAGGAAAACGATAAAAGATTGGCAAGTGGCCATACATACGTGAGACAAATCTACAAAAACAATCGTAAAGTTATCAATTGGTCACATTTTGAGGAATCACTTTTGAGAAAGGAAACAAGGAGAAAAATACAATATACTTTAATTCATTATGTGTTGCGAATTAACGATGCCAGCCAATCGCTGATACAGGGCAAGACTTTCGTTGAAACTGATGTGAGCTCTTTTCGCATCGCTACAGTCAAGAAGCTGTTGTCCGATTTTTCGGTGTTCCAAAGCTGAATCCAATGCCCATCGAACGACAAGAGCTTCTTTGTTGTCAAATACACCTTGCACACTCGAGAAAACGTTCAAAGATAAGAGAAAATCTTTTGACGAGCTCCCTGCCAGAATATAAATCGCAGGTAGACATGAATGAACAGACGAAAGATTTTTTAAAAATCTTATAATCTCATCATTTTCTACATGTTCTGCATCAATAATAAGCCATTTACGATGATTAAGATCGTGAGTTTCGACAGCGTCAGCAAGTGTGAAACAAGTAGCTGTTAGCAGATCAAACAGTTCGACGAGGCTATTTCTTGTCCTTGTCTGAGGCTTATTGTTTAGTTCAAGCAGTACGGGCCATTGCTGCCGTTTGACTGTTTCATCTTGAGCTGAACGTAACATTTCACGAATTTCCATGTTGTACGCCTCTTCGTACGCTGTTAATCCGTATTGATTTCTTGTGAGGTAATTGACAGAACACTGTTGGAGTATTAGGTGAACGACTGGAGTATGGCCGTAATACGAAGCTACATGAAGAGCAGTACTTCCGTTAGGTAAATGTTCATTAGGATCCGTATTAGGAAAGCGTGAAAGATGTTGTCGAACAGCATACAGATCGCCATTACGGCATGCAATATAAAGCGCGTAGCTCACATCCTCATCAGAGTGTTCTTTCGTTTCAGTACTGGAAGATTTCTTTTTTGTCCCAAGTCCAGATGAAGAGGCCATTGCTATCTAAAATAAGTAGTATATATGTATATATGGGTATATTCACAGGATTTCACTAGGTTCATCCGACAACAATCTCTGAGCTCGCTCAAACATTCAGGGTTTCTTACAGCTTCGATCACTGCGTATTATGTTAAAATTTTTTCCTGTTAGATCCTCTTTTGATCAAGATACAGGTCAAATATTGCGAGGATATCTTATAATTTCTAGCACTTTTTCGCAAAAACTAAAAACAGTACAGTCTCTGGCCTCAATTCGATCACTTTTCCCAACCGTTCTCAATAAACTGTTTACAACTATGTTCAATGGAATCCGTTCGCGCTCAGTCTGTTTTTGGATAGAACGATTGGTGCTCCACATTTCAACCAATTCGTGTACAAAAAAGTGTTTTCCCTCTAATGAGTTATCACCCTCACAAAAAGTCAAAGCTTGCATCTTTTATCTAACGAGGGAACATATTTAGGTGATTAAGCGATTTAGATCCCATCTTTTGGTGATAGATAGACCTCAATGAGGTATGAAAAACCTCAAGAGGATTCGTGCCCTCGCGCCTTTATTTCANAAAACTGAAAAAAGTTTTCACCTGAAAACTCTACTGTTCTATAAAAACGATCATCCTTCATTTCAGTCTCTTTTCGTATACATCCTGAGAACTCAGTATCTTTGAAATAAAGGCGCGAGGGCACGAATCCTCTTGAGGTTTTTCATACCTCATTGAGGTCTATCTATCACCAAAAGATGGGATCTAAATCGCTTAATCACCTAAATATGTTCCCTCGTAAGTCAACAGGGTTCATGTTGATAACGAATCGAATAAATATCGTACATACGTACTTTCTTCATTCTTTAATCTCGGTTGGAATACTAATTGATCTTTAAACACACTGCCCGCCATAGTATTGAGTTTTATTTTCTGGGCCCGTTGCCTAATGTAACAGCATGTGACCGAGGCAACCATATGCATTTTCGTTTAATTTACGTTACAGACTCAGTCAAATCGTTTGGTGACAAAATTTAGCGGATGGTTTATCAATATTAATGAAGGATCAACGAGAACACACTCTGAGTTCAGTTTCCGTTGTCGCACGAAAAATGTTGATTTTCATAAAAATTTTTGAAATTAATATCAATGCATGAAGATATAGTCCGTCTTCAGTTATTTCAAATTTTAAATGTTTTTTCTATGCAAAAATTTCTTTTTGGCCTAAAATTTGTATGATTTGTATAATCAACTACCAGAGATGCTTCAAAAAGCTTTATTTACTACACAAGAAAAATCAAAATCCACAAAACAAACAATTGAAGTAGCAATTGACTAAATAAGCCTGATTATTGTTGTAAATTTTGTAACATTTTAAATAAAAAATAAGTCTCGTCCTTACGAATGGAGTCTATTTTTATATAAAGCTTTATGCAATCCTTTGTTCCATCATGTTAGCTGTGCATGAATGTAAATCCATTGATTGATTTTTAATTATATCCTAATTCAATCATCATAAATAGACTTTTCTTAAATCTAGCCATTCAAAAATTTGGGAAGCACAGAAATGGAAGAAAAAGATACGGAAAACAAGAGAAGATTTAGGAACAGTCGTTCCATCATGACACATTTGACTATATCAGGATAGTAAAATTAGTAACATATTCGTATATTTATCGTTCGAACAAGCATTCAAATACGAGGGTGTAACTTTACGAAGACATTTTTATTGACGTTATGAGAGCAGATATTCAACGCCGTTTCTTTGTCGCTGATCAAGAAAACGAGAAATAAGCCTGGAGAGAGAAATGAATGGAGGAAGGCTAGTTTTTTCTCGTTCTCTACGTGCCACATCGCCTACGTGTGAAATATGATATTAGTATAATTGTTTTTACAGATACACTGTGCATGTATAAGGAATTATGTGTCATTATCTCTCATTCATTAAAGAATATCTCACCATTGAATGGGTTAGATAGGCATGACATGTCATCGCCCAAACTAAATCTTTCCCATCGTACCAAATCTGTGTTTTTTCTGGTTTGTATTGTATTGTTTATTCGTCTATTATAGAAGACAAAGTTAGTTTTTTTCAATCGACAAATATCAAAATAATGAAGTTCATAGTGATCTATTTCGTCTTACTTGTTGGTTTATATGTCAATGGTGATGATTCTAACTTTGATGAAGATGATCATCGAACCGGTTTATTTCGTCCACGTATTGCTCGATCTGCCTGTCCTAATGAAAATCATTGTCGTTCAAAATGGGGCTACTGTGGAACAGGGTTAGATTATTGTGGTGCTGGTTGCCGGGGAGGTCCATGATTAGGGGGTAACGACGGAGGAAACAATGGCAATAGTAATCAAGGTGGCTCAATAGGACAGATCAATGCTCACAACTTTGCATGTGTATTCAGAGATCTTGATGCGGGAACTCGCAATCAACGCTTCCGGGGTCTGCAAGCAACGGGATGGAAAGCAGCAAACGCCGAAGAAGCTGCTATATTTCTTGCTCACGTTTATCATGAGACACATGGTCTGAGAACTATTAGAGAATATTGTGCACCAGGTAACTATTGTTTCAATGAAAGATAAATTATTGAGAATACTATAACACCGAACTAGTTGACAGAAACGAGTTCTTTCGCAAGGAGCAACTGTAATTCATAAACATGGTTCGATAGAATGTCCAGAGTTCTATCTGTATAGATTCTATTGAATATCTCAGTTAAAAATTGAGATATTTTTATTTTCTTTTTAAATATTAGACTGTGGACATGCGTATCAAGGTGGTCCGTCAAGTTGGTGTAAAACAACAGGTCCACCAGGAAAACTTTATTATGGTCGTGGTTGGTTTCAATTGTCATGACCGTGCAACTATGCTGCAGCTGGTAAAGCACTTGGTGTTGATCTTTTAAGTAATCTAGACTTAGTAGAAACCGATAGTAAGTTAGCCGTGAGCACAGCTCTCTGGTTTTACAGAACACAAGGTATGGCTGAACCAGCTCGACGCGGTGATTTTGCCGCTACAACACGTATTATCAATGGACCACTGGAATGTAATGGTGGATCTGGTTATAGTCATCAATTGGGTCGAGTAAAAAACATATAAACGTGTTCGTCAATGTTTTAATCTCGGATCACCTAAGATCAATCCAATTTGCTAGAAAAACTCTTTTACGCTTCTTTGCCTTTTTCCTTAACTTCGAATTTGTCGAAACTTTTTTCTGCTGTTTTTCATCTTCTTTTGAAATGTAAATATCTCAAGTTCAAAAGAGACCTCGGAGAGAAAATGAGATTGATAGATGAACATCTGAGTTTGAAAAGGAATATCGATGAAAAATCAGTTTAAGTAATTCTTTTGCATAAAGAGATATAACCAAATTTATCGTTTTCTGTTCTATATGATGGGAAAGAGAAGAACAACATAGGGAGAAATTTGTAGCATATTGATATTTTTATGTTCTGCAGCTTTGCAACGCGTAATGCTTCCGATGTCGATATTTGTTAGTAACTATCGAATTATCCCGGTATAGTATAAGTTTAACAATGAACGAAATTTTTTTTTAAATTACAATTAATCGTTTCACTTTTGATAAAATCATATCATTTGTGTCATAATCATGATAAAATATCATTAAATCGTCGAATTACTCAATGGGAGTGAATTTGAACTAAAATAAAAGAAATATTTTATTTGAAAATAACTGTTCTTTTCATTTTATCATAATTAGTAAATATTCTTGTGTTAATGTAGAAAGCTAAATGGAATAAATGTAAGTTGGTAAATATCAATGAATATGATATAACGGAATAAAATATTTATTTTCATCATCGATCCTTCAGGGGAAAAGCTAAAGGATTTCGCGAATCTTTATCATTGTTAAATATGAGTAAAAGAATGATATTTTCATTCTTTGCTTTCTGTTATTCATAATTCAAATAAATTTATATTAGACAAGATCAAATACAAAGTTTATCAGAGGAAATTTCTTTTTAAAAAAAAGGTGTATTTATTTATTATTGAGAAAAACTTTGATATCACAGCATAAATCAACGAATTCATTTCAAATACTTTTTCTCTATCAAAGAATTCTTGTGTACAAGAACCACTTAGACTTGAGATGCTTTTTTAGTGACAACAATTTTCTAAATGGTGTTTTTGCAAATAACTACCGAGGAGGAGATATTTGCAATCGGCTGAATATAGGTGGGTATCGTCGATGAGTCATACGTTGGTGTTATCGATGGATTATAGTTCGATGAAAGGATGGGTGGTGTCGTCGATAGATTATATATATGTAATACAATTATGGGTGTCATTGGATAGTCATATATAAAGGTGAGTGATGGTGCTTATTGAAAAGAGCTATATCCTTAGATATTTTCGTTCAATTTTGTACAGTATCTTGTTCGTTTTTAATTGTTTAATAAACCAAAAGAACTAAATACTAGTTCCTACTATTTTACTAAGTCTCATTATCAGTTTTTAACGAGATAATGACTGGAAATCGTATCGCAGTTGCGCGCAATTTCATCGCAATCACAAACATGGGTGGTTTTTTTTATTGTTCTTTACTTTTTATTATGTAGAAGATAAGAATAAGTATTAAATGACATCATTTTGTAGACAGAACACCAGGGAAAGATTCCTTTGTGATAAATAACGTCGAAATACTTTTGTATAAATATATCAGTGAAAACCGTTCTCTATTACAAATTCTTTATCATGCAATCAATTTATAAAACAATTGATATTTTTTCTCCATCTAGTAATTTAGAAAATTCAACTTTTGGAAGAATTTTTGATCAATTTATAATAAGTGAAAAGTTAGCAAAAAAAATTGAAGAAGTACATCCAATAAGAACTGGAATGGCAAGGTATTCGGAAACATATCCAAGAGTTATTTTTATGTTTGATTATACATTAGATGAAGCAATATTACTTTATCGTAAATTATTTTATTCAATATTTGAAAAAATACCTTCACAATGTGATACAAATAAATTATTAGATCAAATTGATGGATCAACTTCAAAATTCTTAGATGTTATTGTTGATTATGGTAGTGCATTTGAAACTGAACATTTAAATTTAATCAGATGTGCTTTTCCACATTCTATGATCTATTCAATTGATACTTTATATGAAGATCTTGATTTATTAATCTATAAATTAGATAATAATGAAAGAAAATGGTGTATTATACCTGTATTTAGTTCTACAAATGAATCTGATCGATTACAATTAATTGAATTATTACATCAAGAAATTGAACAATTATTATCATTTTGGTATGGAATGAATGTATCAAAATTTGAATTTGATCATAAAATAAATCAATTACAAACTTATGATCCATATACAGAAATAGTTGATTTAGGAAAGATTCATTTTATTGATACAATTGATAAATGTGAAATAAAACCATGTTCTTTATTTATGGCATATAATACTCATCATGCAAATCCAAATGTTGATTCATTAATATTAAATGGTCTAATACAACGTAATTATACAACGATTGATATAGTTTATTGTCGATCATGTAACTATTCATATGTTCAAAAAAAACCTCAATTAAGTAATAATCGAAACTGGGATAATGTATATTCTCAATTAGCTCATTTAAAATCAATCATCGGTGAAAGACCAAAATTAGTATTATCATTACCAGAAACAAATAAACTTCGTTGGCTTACTAATGATATGATTGCACAATTATTAAATGGAAATTTACGAAGTTCTTGCACAACTAATCAAAATGATCCGATAACGAATTATTTCGGATTAACTATCCATTTTTATTCATTTATATTCACAAGATCAATTTTTAAAGATTATATTGATTGTATTTATTTAAATTCATTTTTAAACAAAGATAATTTTACTTCATCGATGATTCAACAATGTATTGAACAACATATTGGTTATCCGTGGAAAAAAAGAATTCTTCCCAACAATTTTGTAAAAGAATGTCTTTATGAAATCTTAGGACCTATTACTAATCTTCATATTCATATTGATTCTAATAATGCATTTAAATATTCATTGGAATTAATTCATCAATTAAAAACTGAAAATTCAACTGTTGAAATAGAAATATCTTTTGATGATGAGAAATTAACTGAAGAAATTTATGAACCAGTTGTTATTTTAACATTTGAATGTAATGAAAATTATGTTTTATTATATTTAGAATTGAATTGTTTTATTCAATATATTTCAACATGTCAATCATTAGAAGAAATTCAGATAAAAATTCAATCATCTGTTCAATTTTCTTTTTCATTAAGTCAAGGACAATCAATTAAATGGCATGAAAATCTTTCATTTATTTATTCAACTGCATATGAAGATAAATATTTTGAAGAAATTCGTAAAAATATTTTATCAAAAGGTTTGAAAGATTTAATTTTTATAACTAAAAAATTATCTATTCATGAACGAAAACAACCACAATATCATAAGAATCAAGCAATTATATTTTTTGATTTTTCAACATATAATTATCAATATGAAATGATTCCAAAAGAATATGATAAATTTGATCAATGGATTTGGGATGAAGATAAACTAAGATTTACTGGACCATTTATAACTTTATATCCAAATATATCATCTTATCAACTTTCATACTATCCTCAACAACATCCGAGAACAAATGTTGCAGGAATTTATAATTTACTTTGTAATAATATTTTAATAATGTATCAATGGCGAAGTTTCTTGTTATGGAACAATCTTTTCAAATGATTTATATACGTAGGCGGGGAGAGGAATCAAGATTTATTCTCCCCTCTCATCCTCAATTTTCTTTCCGAGAGAAATATTTGTTAACAACATTTTTTCCCTAATAAAATCTTCTTTTGTCTTATTAAAGTAAATATGTTGACTTTAGAATCATTCTATTATTATTTCCTCGTCTGAAAGGAGAGTCATATGGAAAAAAATAATTTGTTTTGTTTGTCTGTGTCAGGGTCAAAGGTTAAAAAAGCATTTTTTGGAAATGCTCCTAACTTCATATATTCAATGCTAACCATTCCCCAGGCCCAACGTTCCGGATATCGGATCCCAACGGAACCGACAGGAAAGCATCCTTTTTCCAAAAAATTCCGTACGGTTCCACTAAAAACCCAAACAGAAAACATCGGAATCCTGAAGAAGTATTCCAGATCGGAAAATCTCGGAGAAGGATCCGACATAATCCCACAACTGCCGCTCAACAGATACTCACCGGATACTACAGGAACCTGTCATAACCGAGAGATTCAAGTCAACTTTATCAATAATGCACACTAAGTATCCTGTCGAAACCTTCAGGAACTCGACCACAGAGCCCAATACAAAAAAAAAAATGCCCGTCTTTTCTCAACGAATTCCCACTGTAATTCCATTCGTATCCAACTTCTTCCGACCAAATCCCAGATCCGGAACCTTCTGAAACTAGCTTAAAAAAGATTTCTTGAAAATTCATGGCTGTAAAACCTTCGTTGAATTAGTCTTCCTCTTAGTTTAGCAACAGACTCTTTTATAGTTATCATTCTATAGGCTCCGTATTCAGCTACTTCAGAATACATCGTTCAAAACTATCTGTCAAACGTCTCCACACACCCTCACCCACCCCTCAGGAAACCTCTCCCTTATGACTTCGTTTACTCGTATGAAGATTGAGAAAACTAAGAAGGATCTTCAAAGTACGGATGTTCATCAAGGTGCAATATACAAGGTGTTGAAGAAGGGTGAATATGAAGGATATGAGATATGAAATGATGGAAGAGTCAGAATGAATTTTAGTGAAAAAAGTCATTTTAATTATTTCTGATGCACAAATAAAATTAGGTAAGGCGTTTGAGTAAAGAGATATAATTGNAGAATGTAAAGTGTACTATCGAAAAAATGAGAAAAGATGCAAAAAATTTGAGGATTGTTTAAACTTGCAACATAAGAAGTTCCTTCGACTTGTGGAATTAACATAAAAGGTATATCGATACCTGTTACGAAAATTGAAACGAGTAAAAGACAAACAATAGTAAAAGTAAAGAAACATTGTCTCGGTTGTTTTTGTTGGTAGACAAAATAGTGAATTAGAAGGCCAAGGTTGCAAATGAAAGAGGGAATATTGAAAAAAACAAAAATATAAAAGAATACTTTGCTTTTCACATCAAACGATGAGCCATTTGAAGTGAAAGTTGATGTCATAAGAGACGTAGTTGAGATTTGATCTTCCATAGTCATGTGAGGAAATCTTTCTGAACTTCTCAAATCGAATCTAAGAATTATTTTGTACTCTTTCGCTTACTTCGTCAACAAAAGTGGTGAGAGTACATTTTCAAATGTCATCTTTTATATAAAAATAAAAAAGCTTGTCTCTATCAATTATCTTCGCTCAGAAAAGACGTCATAGTGATAGATGAAAGACATTTATAATTCTTTTTTTTTACGGATTTTGTCTTTGTTGTTCAAGCAGAGTAAATGTGCCTGAAACGCAACTGAGTTTATTTTCAAATCAATCAACGGATACATTCCTGTCACTAATTTACACATTTTATTTTCGAAAAAGCCAAATAAATCCTAATAAAATCGCTCATTGTTGTATAACTACTAACAAATCATACCGCTGAACTTTGATCACTTGTGACATGGCGTCAAGTGCATTGTATTTTATCTTTGTAGTTGTAACCAACATCTTTCAAAACACATAGGTGATGATTTGCACCTAATTAATCTGTTTTTGAACGTCCTGACATGAAATAAACGCATTTAATGGGGATTTCCTTTTCCAGTGGAGACCGCATGTCAATGCGATCCTGTTAACACGCGCGCCTGAACGCATTTACCCGGGTTGTCAAAAAGACACAGTATTCCGGTGAAATGAATAATTGTTTTTACATCGTGCGCCTTGACAAATATGGAAAATCTTTTTATAAACGAGATTAAAAACAAGATTTTGTGTTGAAAAAACAGTTTTCTCGAAAATTTCATTATGATTCGGATTTGAATGAATGTGCAAGTTTTGTTTTATCTATTCATATTGAATCATAATCACTCTCAAGATGGGAAGAAAATCTGTGATCAATATTCTTGGGAGTGAAAAGATAATATTACGGAAAGTTTAATCCAATGACACAAATAAAAGTAACTACAATGTGAAAATGTGTACACGATCGTGTTAAACTTTCTGGACAATAGAGAACTGTGTTGGACACGACTGATCGTTATTTATTTTTACTCATTTAAGAAATCATCATATACGAATCAAAGAACTCCGAATATAATTTCTTTCATCCTTTCAGTCGGAAGAATAAAGAATAAGACAACGCATTTCAATACTATCTTGTTCGATAAGTGTTGACGGAACATTCTCATTGATAAAAGCTGTATGAGCACCAAATTGAGCAACATCAGATTTACTATCAAAAATTTTGAAAATGAACATTTCATTTGATCGCATTTCGCTTAAATAATACCATTTTTGAGTATTTTGACTATTGTGTGAGATCGTGTAAATCGAAACAGTAGCAACTGTTCCCCGAACTTCTGACACATGAATGTCGTTGTTAAGATCTAATGAGCGATAATCGCATATTGCCAAAGGAATCTTTCTTATAGGATGCGAACCCAACGGTCGCCAAACATTAATAATTTGAAAGCGGTTTTGCATTATTTTCTTGCTTTCTTCTTCACCAACGATTTCTTTCAATTTAAAATAAGCTCCCGATGGATCATTATCAACATGTGGATAAAATATTGGATTCTTATGAGTTGAGTCACATTGATCTACTGAACGTGATGGTCCTCTAGAGCGTGTTATATGATTGAAAATGATTACATGAGAAGCATTCAAACGCTTTTTCAGTACATCAACGATTTCTTCATAATAACACCGTTGAGTTTCACTATTATCATCAAACACGTTAAGTACATTGCCGTCATATTTAAGTATTTCAAAACCATTAATATCAAGATCAACACGATTTTCTTTACCACGCAAATCATGAATAGTAACTTGTTGTGGTGTTTGTGCATAATTCGTAGTTGTCCATCCAAGTTTAGGATTACTGTCCATCCATGGAGCAGAACCGTCGATTGTATGACTAAAAAAATTGATTTCTGCAATAGTATCACTACCCATCTGCCAGTCAATAGAGATGAAACAAAAGAAAATGATAATAAATTAAATGCAAGTCTTTTTCTTTTACTTTCTTATCTTTCTCAAATACGATAAACAAGGTTAGTGAAGTATTTGAATATCGTCCGATGCTTAAACCTTTGACACGTACAAGTTTCATCGTCAACACAATCCATAGTCGTAATTCAAATATAGATATTTTTAGGCATTTGCATATTGATTTGTCAGGATAAGGGTGTGGGTTGTCGATGTATTATCATCTTCTACACCCACACCTTCACCCTTTTTTTAATGTTACGATGTCAAAATCAAAGACATGTCTTTTGATCTGTCACATTTATTCTATACAAACGAATTCTATCCGTACTCGCAACAATAGGACGTACGATATCGACAGTGACTCTTACTGTATTAGCGTTATATAAGATATAGATATTCTCGTTCCACACGCTATGTCACATTGCTAATATCAATATTTTGACAGCTGTTTTGCGACATCTAGGAAAACGATCAAAATAGAAATGAATACGATTGATAAACAGGAAAGTGTTTAGAAGTACCAGCGTTCAGTGATGAATTCGAATAGTCGTGTGCGTCTATTTGGATTTAAAACACTTATTGTATACAAAAAAAGTTACTCCACCGAGAGTTACAATTGTAAAACCGATTTTAATCTTATTATAATCCCGTTTTTGTCGAAGATGAGTTTCTTCTTCTGCTTTTTCATTACGAGCTTTCTCATCGATTTGTTTGTGTATCTGTTGAATAAGGTTAATATTATCACTTATTTTTTTTCATATTTAATCGATCCGCTCGATCTACCATGACTTGAAATTGCCCATTTTGTCTTTCCAAAGGCATGAGTTCTTTATGTTTTTCCTTTGAAGATAAGATCTCATTGTTATATAATAATTGTATTGGATCAATATTTAATTCATTGGTTCCCATCTTCGACTAAGATTCTTTACAAAGAATGTTTTTCTATGCAAACAGAAACACAAATAGTCACTTAAGGCAATGCATATACGACATTTTATTTTCATCTGAATGTTATCATTGAAAAGCATTCTGATTGGATACAATATTTACATATGTGATTTTTCCCATTACGTCGAAACAAATAACAGCAACCAGGTTTTTTTGGCTCATTTTTCTTCTCGTTTTCCATGTGCTTAGTTAAAGCACGAACTACTCTATAGATACATAAAAATTTCTGCTTTTTCTGATTCAATTTCGACTCAGTAATTCCCTTGAGGGTGTGGACGAAGTTCTAAAAGGCTTTTTTTCGTTCGATATTTCCACCCGGCCATATGTACATACATACATTGACATCACCCAAGAATTGTATTCGGTCTAGAAGATATTTATTGACTACCTCATTAGTATAAGATGAGAGTTTTATTTGAATATGACATTTGTAATATACTAAAATAAAATTGTTATCTCAGTTTTATACTTTACAATGCATTTCGTAAAAAGCCCAAGTATCATAAAAAAGACAGAAGGAGACAGACTATAATGTTTATCCTTATAAAGCGCGCGTCTTTACATCTTTAAGTAAGTCATGCTTATCAGTTGAGTATAAAAAGATGAAAAATCTTGTAACACAATAGAGAAAAAAATCCCATTGAAATAGACGATGTTATTCTTTATCTACATATTGTTTGCTGGTGTGTTTCATGATGTTTCTGCTTTGAAATGTTACAAATGTGATGCAAATCGTGTTGATTTTTGGATCGATGTCAACAATGTTCCGCCTTTTTTCGATGACTGTCCTGTAGTCGAATCAGAAAAGCAATGTTTCGCATCAATTCGATGGTTAACAATTGGAGACTTAAAAGAAAGTCTAGTAGAATATGAAGATGATTCTAGTGAAGAATATCGTCCAACCGATTCTTCACTTTCCTATGTTTTTGCTGATGTCGAACGTAATACTGAATCGGCTTCGAGTCGAATTCTTCTCTACAGTTGCACAACAGATCTATGCAATGATCGAACAAATCTACTCNCGCTTAACATACTTATTCGAAATCTCTTTATCAGTGCGCTTAACCACGATAAATTCATTCTCTTACCGCTTAACCAATGAACATTCCAGAAATGTATTATCCTCATCTTTTTTTGTGCTACAGTTCGATTAAAATGAATTGAAAAGAAATTTCCAACATGCACGTATTTGTTTCACCCACACATTGATTTACAATCAAATATCGTTTGAAAGGCAAATAACGTCTCTTGTCGACGATTCTAAAAATATTGATTGGAGAACGTTGTAAGAAAGATTAGTGATACATTCGCTCTCAGGTAAAATAGAGAAATATTTTAATCGAATTTTGAGGACGAAAAGACTCGAGAAGAAGGATATTTTTCAATGAAATAGCACCTCATCTCATTTTTGAAAGCACAGTTGTGACATGAACAGTTATACGACAGATGAATTATCGAAGACGGCCCGAGATGTTGGACGCCTCGATCTCCGAACTTGAAGCCACTAAAATATAAACACAGGCAATTATAAATATTGATGAATTGAAGAACAAAATTGAAGAAGTAAAATCAGTAAAAAGAAAAAACATTGAAAAATGCTTTTTAAATGATAATATATTAAATTTCTAATCAAAAGAATAGCTAATGTCTATGTATGTCGTTTTTATGGGATTTAATCAAAGGAAATAATAAACCTGAAATCGGATAAAATGTTATTGACCAGAAAAATGAAATTTTAGTTCCCAATAAGTGCATGTTTATTGTTAATAATATATTGGTTTATCAGACTTCGACTATTTGAACTATTCTTTCATGAGATGGGTCAACTTATTTTCTCAAAGTAATCGAAAGATTGGACACACTCATATATTGTTGTCAACATTTAGAAAAACAATTTTTGAAAAATGCAGTTTCATGTCCTTGTGTCGCACAATTCGTATTTTTCTTTGTGCCCTAGACTTAATAGTCAATATTTGCTCAGGTGCACAGGCTTTAGATTTGGAGAAACTAAATTAGTGTAATTGGGACTTTCCAACAACCAACAACAAATGACCGCAGTATCATTTTTCATCACAACAGATATTATCAATTGTGATTCAAAATATTGAGTATTAACCATGGATTGCATTTCGCTCTATACCCGTCGATATATATATATATATGTCGAGTAAGAGAATGAAAGTCAATTCATTGGTAGTATCACTTATATTTACAAAACAGTAAGTCGACTCAATATAATACGATGATATTTTTCCTCTTCAATTTGACAATAGTTCAGCACCCAAACATGATTCAAGCTTCAACTATTGCTTTCCTTGCATTTGTTGTAGCAACAGGTAGTTATAAATAATCTATTTTCTGTAATGAATCTTGACTAGATGTGTTTCTTTAGTCAATGCTTTCACAACATTTGAACTTCAATATCAAAATGCAACGTTGGCACATCACAATTATTTGCGCGCTCGTCATTGTGCACCACCTCTTCAACTTGATAATAAATTGAATACAATAGCACAAGATTATGCAGATTATCTTGCAAGAACGAATAAATTTCAACATTCAAATAATGGTTACGGAGAAAATCTTTATATGTCAAGTTCATCAGTTCCCATCACAACTGTTGATGGTTATTAGAAGAGTTTTTTTCTTATTTTTATAATATCTTATTTTCTTTTCTCAGGACGCGAAGCAACTCAAGCATGGTACGATGAAATACAATATTATAATTTCAATAGACCTGGTTTTTCTTCAAAAACGGGTCACTTCACACAGGTCGTCCGGGAAGGATCAGATCGTCTCGGTGTTGGTATTGGTTTCAGCAGTGATGACCGTAAAGTCTATGTTGTTACAAACTATAATCCACCAGGTAACTATCAAGGTCAATTTGGCGAAAATGTATCCCCAGCTAATTGCCAATAAAAAAATAAATCTCTTTTGGATATGAATGTATTCAAAATTTGAAGAAATAAGATGTTTAAATATGATTGTTCTTGTAAGATCAATTATCTTACTGACAGTGTATAAATTGATGGGCCCTGAAGATACTTTCATATATGAAGATACAGAAGAAAACAAAAGTAATGTACATCATCTGGGTGACTCGAATATACTTGTAGAGTTGAGAATCTTTCGCAAAGAATCGAGATTTCATCAGAAGGAAGGACATTCACTGATTTCACAGAAGATTCACATTAAACATAATTTATCAATTTGTGTTCTTATGAGATTTCATTTATCGATACTCATTACTTTCTTATTCATTACTATCAGACTTTGATACAGAAAAGATTTTTACTGAGAAAATAATTCTGAAAGTAAACATGAAATCAGTTCAAATTTTATCCGTTGTCAGGAAACAAGAAACATGTCATTTCATCATGCGAGATAGTGGGATAATTCACAACTTCTATTAAATGCTAAACAATGTAATCCTCCATATCTCCAAACGATGTGTCATGGGTTTTTTCCCTTTCTATTTTATGGTTATCTTCAGCCATGCCCACGTGTGTGTAGCTGTCATCAGATGTATGTGAGATATAATTTCATTTCTCTCTCTCCCTCTCTCTCATCAATAAAGATTATAATATGATTGATTATTTAACTCTTCTTTGCATTTGGAATTGGTTTTTCATGAAGAAATAAGTACGATAAACAGAAGATTTTCTTTAAATATTTTTTATAAAACAATAATTTCCGATTTTTTTTGTACAAGGATGACATTTCGCTTTCAACTAACCGCTGAACTCAAAGCAACACTTCCATGGTTAATATCAGCATGAGATACATTTTGAATAATAGTAGGTTGTAGTTTATTAGGAACAGTCATAAAATGTTGTGCTTTCCTAAAATCAATAATTAAATCAAACAACACACTTTGATCATGAGTGATCGAAGAGATATGACTTTTCCTCCCT